CAAAGAATATCCATCTGGAGAGAAGATGGTATAGTAGAAAATATAGAAGTGGACCAAAGTTACTATATGAATAAAGTGAATCAGGTAGACAGGAGGAACTTCGATAGGAATCTGACCAACATAGGGTCATGCTACCCAGCAGAAGAAGAATACTCACCAAGCAAAAATGCCCTTTATTTCTTAACTATCCATCCAAATGGTTTCCAATGGGACAGAGAAATCATGGGAGAAATAGAGGGCGTTAAGGGAATGTTTGATATACGGCCAACTGGCTGGGATGAAGATAGGTATTATGTTTGAATCATTATTCTTCGAAAAGATTTCGGCTTACTTGGCCGAGAATAAAAGAAATCGGTTCTCGAAGCTGAAATAACAAACGTGGCCTCGAAGCCATAGATAGTACGCTACACACTGCAGGACCTGGGGAATATTTTATCCAAAAACCTCCTGACAAACAGGTACCAGTCGAACAGTTAGAACGAAGACTGGATGCCATATACGATGAGGAGCCCTTGGGTTTCGAGAGAAATCCGTTGGAGTCAAGCGCAAAGATGTTGGCTCAATACCCCCTTGAGGAAATAGATCTTGGGGATGGAAGCGTGAAAATAATCACGTACATCATTGCCAAACTAGATCCCAAGTTGAAGACAAGGGTGATTGAATTGCTGAAAGAAAACAAAGATAGCTTCGCTTGGAATTATGACGAAATTCCTGGTTTAAAAACAGATCTGGTCGAATTAAGATTGACAATCAAAGAAGGAAAGAAGCCTATCAAGCAGACACCTAGAAGGTTCGCCCTAGATGTTCTTTCAAAAATTAAAAAAGAGGTCAAAAGACTTCTTCGTTGCAATTTCATCACAACTACAAGGTATGTAGAATGGATTTCCAATATAGTTCTTGTTATTAAGAAAAATGGTTCATTAAGAGTATGTATAGATTTTCGTGACTTAAATGCAGCAACTCCTAAAGATGAGTATCCAATGCCTATGGCAGAAATGCTAATAGATTCAGCTGCAGGATTTGAGTACCTTAGTATGCTTGATGGATACTCTGGATACAACCAAATTTTTATTGTTGAAGGAAAATGAAAGGTTGCTAGTCGAAATCTGGTGATTACAAAAAATGTTCATTTCTGCATTGATTCGAAATAGACATTTATTGGGGGAAATTTGTTAGCTGAAGATTTCGACATTTGATAAAAATATGAAAGTTGATTTGAGAAGATCATGTTTTAAAAATAACATGAAATTTGACCTTATAAGGTTATTTTATAAAGCTCATTTTTATGATTCGACATGTCGAAGGACAACTTAAAGTGAAAGGGGTATTTCAAGATATGTGAGTACTTCGACAGTCATGTTGGTTGAATTCAAAGTTGAATTCAAAATCTTCGAGCAAGAAGTTTAAATTTCAAACTAATGTGTTTTCGTCAGGAAGACGCGTGGAAGTGCCAGAATATATCCGTGTAAAAGATGTCGAAAGTGGCGTAATCTCATAGACAGATCGTTAGGGTCGAATTAGTAATAAATAGGAGTCTTAGATGTTATGATTCGAGGTGTTCACATTGTATACAAATCACTCATACTCAAAGTACCAGAGCGGGAGAAAAGAGTTTATTGATAATGTATGTATAAGAACACCATCATTTTATTCAAAGTTGTTTTCTTATTACAAAGTTATTTTAATTGCTTTCTTTATTCCTTTTTCCAGTCAAACACTTTTAACAGATTTTGTCGAACTTCCTTTAATAAGCATTTTTTCTTTATATTTTATAAACATTTAGATCATTTCCTTTAAAGTTATATTTAGAATTCATAGCCAAATTTTAAACATCTTGAAATAACCATAATCATATAGAAAGAACTTATTATTATATCAAATTTTAAGTCAAATTGTAACACTAAGACACATGTTCTAGGATCAATCTAGTTGATCCAGTAAGTTACCAAAACATAGAGTTTGGAAGACTAGCGGTTGTTTGTCAAAAATCAATGGTAAACAAAGAGATAGGAGGGAAAGAATTGGGAAGAACTCAGATCTTAGAAACTCTAACATGATGGAATTCAATGACTTTATTGATAGCATGGATCTTACTGACTTACTTCAATTGGAGGTAGATTTACTTGGTCCAACAAGGAGGGGAGTGTTATAAGCAGACTGGACAGATCTCTATTATCTGAAGCTTTGAGAGCGAGAGGGGCATATCGGATCATACACCTATTTGGATGAAATCCAATGAGGTTAATTTGGGTCCAAAGCCCTTTAGAGTTAATAGTTGATGGTTTGAACATAAGGATTTCTTATGTTTTGTGGAGGAGTCTTGGAAAAATCTAAGCATTGAAGGCAAACAAGCATTCGTGTTGAAGGAAAAACTCAAGTGTCTTAGGACATTCTGAGAAGTTGGAATAAGGATATTTTTTGTTGGTTGGAAATTAAAGTAGAGGAAGCTATCGGAAAATTAACAGTGAATATTTGATCCCAATTGATGATGATGATGTCAATAACAATTGGCGTTTCGATGTTAGAAGGACGGCTGCAGAAGACTATTGAAGGCATTTGAGTCTCAAGAGAACCTTCTCAGACAGAAATCTAGACAAAACTGGCTTCGAGAGGGAGATCAGAACACCAAATATTTTCATGCGGTAATCAAGGATAGGAAGAGGGAAAACACCATAGCGGTAGTCCAGAATGAGGATGGAATAACATTTGAAGATGTTGATGGAATTCGTAGTGAGATTCTGAGAGTTTTCAAAAACAGATTTTTGGAACCTATAAAGGAGAGATTGTCTTTCTTTGGGTTGGAGGTCAGAAGACTAACTTTAGAAGATAATATTCATCTTGAATCTGATTTCACTTGTGAGGAGATAAGGGCGGTTGTGTGAGAATCAAATGGTGAGAAGAGTCTCGGAACCGACAGATTTAATTTTTGGTTCTTACAGGAATGTTGGCGTTTTCTAGAGGAGGATATTGTAAAATTTGTGTGGGAATTCCATAAGACAACGACTTTACCAAAATCCATTACCGCGTCATTCTTAGCGCTTATTCCAAACAAAAAAATTAATCCTCGTGGCTTAGATGAGAATCGGACAATTTATTTGGCTAAGATTCTATCCAAAATTTTGGCGAACTGAATTAAGGTGCTGCCATCTCCGTCTCAATCTGCTTTTGTTTCTGGTAGACAAATTCTGGATGCGGTATTAGCTTTAAATGAAATTATTGATCACGCAAGGAAGGAGAAGAAAGAATGCTTCATCTTTAAGGCTGATTTTCAACGCGCGTATGATTGCGTGAATTGGGACATTTTGAGAAACCTATTTCACATATTCGGTTTCGGGTGTAGATGGCAAAAGTGGATGAAAGCTTGCATTTTTACAAGTTCGATGTCAATTCTTGTCAACGGGAGTCCGGCTCAAGATTTTATGGCGGAGAGGGGCCTTAGACAGGGAGACATGTTGTCTCCTTTTTTATTCACAAAGGTGACAGGAATTCTGGCTGGTTTGGTTAACAAGGGAGCAGCGACGGGGTCTTTCGAGGGTTACAAAATTAGTGAAATTTTTATGTAAAAATTTTGCAATTTGTAGATGATACTGTTATTGTGAGGAGTGGTAGTTGGAACAATTTAAGATCCATCAAGGCTATTTTCAGGGGTTTCGAACTCATTTCTGGTTTGAAGGTCAACTTCTACAAGAGCAAAAATTTTGGGGTAAATTTAACAGAAGAGTTCATGGTTGGTGCTTCTGAATTTGTGTTACTGCAGGGATGTTTTTCCTATTAGATTCCTGGGCATTTCAGTAGGACTAAATCCAAGGAGATGTGAGTTTTGAAATTCGGTGATTCAAAGTCTTAAGAAAAAATTATCAAGTTGGAAGGCGAGGTTTTTATCAATAGAAGAAGGGTCACTCTTCTGAATTCAGTAGTATCAAGCATTCTCATATACACTATGTCTTTTTACAGAGCTCCGGTCAAGATCATCAAAGAGATCATCTAAATCCAGAGTAGATTTCTCTGGAATGGGAATGAGGAAAAAAAATATATCAGCTGGATTAATTGGAGAAACGTTTGTAAGCCCAAAAAGGAAGGTGGTCTCAGCGTCAAACATATTGGAGTTTTCAACAAGGCGTTACAGTGCAAATAGAAGTGGTAGATTCTAAATTAGGATGGAACCATTTGGAAACGAATTCTTTGTGATAGATATGGTGATGTGAAAGAAATTGTGATGTTGGATTTTGAGTCTAAGACAATCAAAAGGGCTCCAACCTGGTGGAAAGACATGTTGTCGATAAGTACTCATAAATCTATCATTTTTTATTGTTTTGCAGATAATATCAATTGTAGACATGGCAATGGAGAATCTATTTTGTTTTAGTTCTACATATGGTTGGGCGGTGTTCCGCTATAAGATATTTTTTCAAGACTTTTGCATTTCTAAGAAACACCTTGGGAAGGTGGCTGAGATGGGCGAAATGCATGACAATGTTTGGTGTTGGGACTTTTCTGTTACACCGGAAGATTATTTATTAGACAACCCATAGGCAACGGATGAGGCTTTCGAATTGCTAGAACTCGTAACAGGGCACAAACCATTGATTGAAGCATTGGATACGTACATATGGTAGAATAATCATAATGGTTTATTCTCTGTTAATAGTTGTTATCACTCTTTTTGTGACAAGGATTTGGAAGAAGTTATGGATGAGCATTCAAATAAATTGATGGATGAACAACTCAGGAATCACAAGAAACATGAGTTGTTCAATCAACGACACTTATCATTACGAAATGTCACTCGGGGAATTTATTTGAGTCTTGTTAATAAGTACTCAAAAAGACAAAATCATGTCATTGTGGGGAAATTTATTTGAATCTTGTTAACAAGTATTCAAAAACACCCTAGCATTGTTTAAGATTTCCGAATATCGTATCGATTGAAAAGTCAAGTATATGCCTTATTTAATATCGTATTGGGGTATCTAATTAATGCTCGGACAAATTAGCATCCACTAAAGTCTTTCCTTCACCACTGTTCTGGTGAGATTTTTGCTATTCCACACAAGCACGAGTGTTTCTACCTGCACTGATCGTCTGCGACTCACTGAGGAAGGGACTGGGAGATGAAACGCACATCTTTGAGATTTGCATCTTGCTATCTTCAAGGTACTCAAAAAGCATCTGTCTGCATACTGCAAAATGAGAAGGTGAACTATAATTATCAGACTTAGACATGCACTTATATAATAATTCCACATAAGATGACAGCACAAAACTGTCAAGATAGTTAATACAGAAGAGGAATGGTACTGCGTTAACTTACATTTGGAATGTCAAAATCACCTTCACTTGCATCACATATATCCAGAGACAATTTCCGAAGCAATGGCATCTGTTAGTTACAACAGAAGATATAACAGCCAATGTCAAGTACCTAACATTTAACAAAACCAAAATATAAGATAAAGAAACACAAGCAAGGTGCAACCAACCTCTGAAGTGGCATGAAAAATGAAGTTTCTCGGTAGCCCAGGACCCTGTGTATGCAAGGTCAAATCAGATATAGTTTCAATAAATAATTCAAAAATCCAGAGGAATCCACAAAGCAAACTTTAGCTTCTCGTTTTTATGTAGTTGTATTGTATCTTTATTTTCTCTCAAGGGTTGGGACATAAAAAAGATACCGAATCTATCAAAGAAACAGAAAAATGACAGCTATTTATTTTTAGTCTGTAGTTTAATCAATCCTTATCATGAGAACCAAGTTCCCACATAATCATGTAATGAAATGTTTTGGTCTAAAAAATAAAAATAAAATTAAGAATATAGATGATACAATAATTTGTACGCCAAACAGTATATTCACAAGAGTTTAAATACCATGTCTTGCACTTGGAATCATAGCACGACATCATGGAGAATAGCAAAAATACCAAATTTTCTTTTTTTGTTTATAAATGATATAATTCATTAAATTTATTCATGGTGTTGTGGCTATATTAATCTAAACAATGACTGGATGATCTAAGACAGGCAGAAAATTAGTTATCATGATGGATCCAATCCAAAAACAGTCTGACTAGAAAACATACGAATAACTTCTCATGTGACCACTGACCATCATTCTTAATTTTGATTTCTACCCTTCTAATATGAAAAATATACTTTAGCTGTTGAATGTAACTTTTGATCACATGCGTATATATAAAAAAAACTCTAAAATTTGTTGAAAATGAAATTGATAAACTTCTGTGCAGAAAAAAGGGTTGACAGAAAGCTCACATTATGACGCAACAGAAGATCTTCAAGAGCTCTGCAGTCAAGAAGAGCCGAGACCCCGTTTGCTGTTATTTCTCCACATTCCTAAACAATAGGCATCCATGTTTAGTGCAGTTGCAAACAAAAGTAAGAATCCACTATCCATGACCTTTCTACCTCCTTCACATGTTATCAATGAAAGAATATGATGCATATGTGGTAATCTAAACTATAATACTTGCTTTGTTTAAATGACAAAGGATTGAATAGCCATTAATAACGGAGAAGCACCCATCTCTGATCTCCCCGTGTAGAAAAACCTATATTCTATCAAATTTCCCATGACCAGAAGATGACAACTGTAGGCCACAGATATTGCTCAGTTTCAGATTTTCGGGTAAACTCACTAAAGAAGCATATTCGTGATACATAGACGACAGCCATTTTGTGTCTGTAAAAGTATAGGCCTAACTCAACCCTACAAAACCGGCTTGTAAGGTGAGGATTACTCCCACTTATAAACTCATGTTCAGGCCATATATTGTCTGATGTGGGACTCTTAACACCCCCTCTCACGCCTAGGAATTAGGGTTGGAGCGTGGAACTAAATGGTGGGTTACCCAATGGATCTTAGATGAGGCTCTGATACCATCTTAGAACATGTGGGTTGGGCCTCCGATGTGGGACTCTTAACAATAACCATGCATACAGTAATTCCAATAGTTTATAAGGGGAAATGGGAAAAAGATTAACAAACCTCTAGATGAATAGAGACCAAGCCTGGCCATGCACATGAAATTATATGTTGAGAATCTGCAATGAAAAATTACATTGTCAAACTGTAAATTTTCAGCATTTGATTAGGTGGTCAATGGTGAGTCGCTATAAGGTAATCTCAAACAAGAAAAATCACCATATTGCAACACCACCCCAGCCTCGGTTACTTTTTTCTCTTTGTTGCAATTATTTGTTACCAATGAGTACTAAGTGGCAGTAGATGACAAAACAATTATCAAAATGGAATACGTTGGCTGTTTGGTACTTAATATATTTTGATCATCTCGAAGGTTCAACTTATCAAATTAGAGGCTTTGTTTACAGATTCATGTCCATTAAATTAAGTTAATTGCAATTGATCATATTTTCAACTATTTGATCCTAACCTGAGTTAAGAAGAGGGCAACCAAGCAATGAAAGCTCTACCAAATTTCTACAGTTTTGAGATAAAATAACCAGGTCATCATTGGTCATCCATGGGGTAACTCTTTCAAGCCTCAGCTTTCTTAGATTTTGCATAGGGATTTTGAAGCTTGACATGGATATATCACCAAAACAATAGCACAGAGCTAATACTTGTAACTTCAAGGTGATAATTAATTTTGTCACGATGATATCAGATATAACCTATAGAAAACCATAACAACAGAGATATACAACAAACAAAAGTTTAGAAATCTGATAGAATGTCTGAGAACTGAAAGACAGAATCACACACAGAGCAGAAAAACAAGCATTAACTTAAAAATAGAAGCATACATCTATATGCATTGATACAAGAATAATAAGAAATCCTTTGGCTATAATTGATAAGACTATTAGAAGTATAAGCCTCGACATGTCTTGTTAAATAGGTTGATAGGGAAAATAATGATGTCAAATGTTACCTGTAGAAAACCATAACAACAAAGAAAGCCACAAACAATTTTAGAAATGTGATAAAAATGTCTGAGAACTGAAAAACAGAAAGCAAAATAACAGAAGACCAAGGAATAGCTAAAACAATATAAGCATACATCTCATATGCACAGATACAAGAATATAATAAGACACACTTTAGCTATAATTGATATCAGAAGTATAAGCCTTGACTTGTTATGCTAAATAAGTCGATTGGGAAAGTTCCTAACTGGTCTTGATCGACCAACAGCTCTTGCATGGCTCTTCTAGCTAATGTCTTTGAAAAGCTTTAATGAAGCCTTGGCTTAGTAAAGAAAGGCTTGTTCGTGATGGGACTAGCCCAAAAAACAATAATGATGGAACTCCATGGATTGTAGATGAGGAATTGCATTTCTGGTGAACTAATTGACCAGAAAAGTTTAACCAAACATAAATGGTGTTTGAAAATGTGAAAAACGTATTGCTTATATTGTATATTTAAATAATTTAGGCTAACTAGATTATCCATTTGGATTGGTTAACATATTCCTTGATATTATGATTGGTTTCCCTAGTTAGTTGATGGTACTAGGAGTCTAGTATCCATATAAATAACAATAAGTGATTTGTCTTTTGTAATAAGGTCCACATATCATTCACATCAATATCAATATAAAATTATTATTGTAAACATTTTGTTTCCTCACAAAAAACAAATCTATAACTTCAACACAGTTCCAAAACTGAGCATGTTATCACTATTTTTCTATATGACTTATTGCATCACTATTTTTCTGCCAACTTTCCAAAAATTTTGGGACTATTCTAACAATGTCATAATGTCCATGACTATTCTCTTCAGGTTCTTTTTTTTAGTGGGTTTTTATCTGCTACTTCCACAGCCTATATCAGAATCATAGATTCATTTGCCTCACTTTCATGCAATTCGAGAAGCCTTGAACTATCCAAGAGAAACATCCTGTCCCCGTACAGGGGCAGATCTAGAATTTTCAATTAATGGAGGCAATATTATAGTATATTACAAATATTCGTAAAGAAAATGTAATAATGCATAAGTTATAAATTGGTGACCTCATTATCATTAAGCAAAAATCATAAAATTATCAAATCATACAATGATATACCTAACAAATTGAAGATATTTTAATACTGCAATATTGCTTGTAATAGTGCACAACATATCACTCACATCATTATCAATATAATTTTATTCTTTTGAGCATTTCTCGTCTTTCATCTTTGTCTGTACCGAAATACCAATAAGAGTTTCTCTAGTGTTTTCCATACTATAGTAAATAGAAACAATTTTTTATATTCTTTAGAGACCAATAAGAATCTCCAATCAACAGGATAGATAATTATCACCTGAAAATGGAGGATTATTGTTTCTAGCAGGGGACAGATTGCTGGTAGCTGTCTCAGGGCATCGTCCCCTAGCATTCCACCTAAACCTACATTGATGGTCTTTAATGACCTTAATGCAGGTTCCAATGCACTGAAAGAGAAGGAAGAAAAACCCCAACCAAACTCAAGTTCTTCCAATCTACACTTCTTTCCTAGCTCAGTATGTAATTCTTCATGCAAGGAAGAAAAGCTAGATTCTCTCTTTTCAATAAAAATATCTCCTTTTAACAAATTTTTACAACCTCTTGCTTTCAGACTCTTCAAGCTTGGATTTCCATGAATAACATAACTTAATGCAGCTTCAGAAATCTGCAATTACACAAGTAAGTTAATAAAATTGAAAAGAAAAAGAAAAACACTCCCTTCGCCTCAGATTAAATGTCACATTAGGGTTGTATGTGGTTCTCTAAAGAAAATGGTTAATTGGATTGATGTCAATGGCAAAAGTAGTATCATTTACTAAAATACTCTAAAGTGGAGTGGAATTCAATAAATAAGGGTATATTAGTGGGGGGGAAATAATTAATATCGGTATCTAAAGAGAGAATTATTGAGATAGGAAAAATGTAAATATGGCCATTTATGAGATAGAGGGAGTAGTTAGCAAATAACCTATTGCACTTTGAAAAATGTAAATATGGTCCTCTTTATGAGACAGAGGGAGTAGTTAGAAAATAACCTATTGCACTTTGAAAAGGTATGCATACTCAGAATCCCTCTCCTTATATCAAACAATAAGTTAACTAAATTTTGATGTTCTTTCTCTTACATTCTTTTTTTCATCTATAACCTTGCAACTTCCAACCGAAAGTAAGCAAACATTCCAACCTCACTTCCTTAAAATGTTAATCAATATTTTAAATTTCAACAAAATAACAACTAACAAGCCACTAATATCTTCTATTAACAGTATAAAGACAAACAAAAACATGTCAAACTTCACGAATATGACCATAAACCTTGGTGTCTGACACATCAAGCATCTCCAAGGAAGAGCCTTTGAAATTATAAAGTGCCTGGTCAACAAGGTGTGTTCCTCTCAGGCATAGACTCTTCAAAACTTGTGTTTGAGACATAAGCTCTTGTAGAGATAACTCAGAAATACCTGCAATACAACTAAGTTATTAGATATTTTCAATATAGAAGTTAAAGTTTATAAAATTGTAAAATATCCTTCTCAAAAATTAACTAAACTTGGATTTCGTAAAATAGTTCTAAACAAGGTTGTCAAAATCGAGAGTTTACTTTGAATCGAAAGAGGATAGTAAGATCGAAAAATCGTACATCGCAACCAAAATCGATGGATTCTACTTGAATCGTTTTGTTGAATCGAAAGGGAAAATCAAGATCGCATAATTGAAAATCGCAACCAAAATCGATGGATTCAACTCATAATAGTACTCAAGTTTAAAATCATAAAGCAACCAAGTGTCAAATCTTAAATATAAAACAAATTACTTAAAGTCTAGATGCTAAATTAGATCACTAATGCGCCATCTACTTGGATCATCTCCCATAATGTCAACATTGTCATCTTAATTAATCTCATCACCATCACCACCCCTACCACCACCACCACCATCATCATCACCTCTTGCACCACTTCCATCATCAAGGTTGAAACATAGTATTGCTTACAGATTGTTGAAACCAAAGATGAAGGCAAGGTCGAAAATAGAGCAGCAATAAGAGTCAAGGAGACAAAGTTGAAAACTTGAAGGAGAAAGAAACACGATTGATGTAGAAGCGCAAACGTCAAATGAATATCAATAAAATAGGGTTTTCCCCCTTTTTAAATAAAAAGGATTAAAGCCCGGTCACAAAACTGAAACGGGTCATCTTTACCCATTTTAAAAATTACCCAAAAAAAAAACCCAAAATCGGTGGAATCCATATGAGATCGCGGATTTTGCTGCAATTTAGCGATTTTGTGCAATTTTATTGGGATTTTGCTCTGATTTAGGATTCTACTCGCGATTCAGATCGTTTAGGGTGAGCAAAATCACAAAATCCATGGACTTCAAAATTCTGATCGCGATTCTGACAACAATGGTTCTAAACCCTAAGAATAACTTGTTCCTTTATTATGATGGAACAATGTTGTAAATTAAATATTTGATGAAATGCTTGAGTTACAAAGCACTCAAGTGATTTGATTATATACACTCAAGAGAGTAATTACAAGATAAGATTGAAGTTATTTCCTAGGTACATGTATGTAATTTACAAGACATGGATTCCTAGACTCCTAGATACATGAACATGCTCATAAATACATAATTATAATTCCAATAATTGGAATGATTCCAATAATTGGAATGATTCCAATAATTCCAACACTCCCCCTCAAGCTGGAGAATAGATATCAATCATTCTCATCTTGCAAGTCAATTGATTGAAACGATCAGGTGGCAAGCCCTTTGTCAGCACATCTGCAAGTTGATGTCCAGAAGGAATATAGGATGTAGCTATCAAACCACTATCTAGTTTTTCCTTGATGAAATGGCGGTCAATCTCTATATGTTTGGTCTTGTCATGCTGAACATGATTATGAGCAATATTGATTGCCAACTTGTTGTCACAAAATAACTTCATAGGCCCTTCACATTGTATTTTCAGATCATTTAGAATGCTGAACACAGATTCCTTGAGTCAAAGCTCGAAATTCTGCCTCAGCGCTTGATCAAGCCACTACATTTTGTTTCTTACTTCTCCATGTGACAAGGTTCCCACACAAGAGGGTGCAAAATCCCGAAGTGGATCTTCTATCACTTATTGATCCTGCATAATCAGCATCGGTGTAGACTTCTATAGTTAAGTTTCCATCTCTTTTGAACAATAGTCCTTTTCCCAGAGTAGCCTTGAGGTATTGCAAGATGCGATCAACGGCTTGTAAGTGTCGGATTCTCGGGTCATGCATAAATTGGCTCACTACACTGACAACATAAGCCAAGTCAGGCCTAGTGTGTGCCAGGTAAATCAACTTTCTTACCAACCTCTGATATTGGACTCTGTCAACTTTGACACTTTCTTCTCCGAGGCTCAACTTATGGTTTTGCTCTATGGGAACACTAGAAGGTTTGCATCCCAGTTTCCCAGTTTCCTGCAAGAGATTGAGTTTATACTTCCTTTGAGATATGAAAATGCCTTGGTTTGAGTAAGCAACCTCAATTCCTAAAAAATACTTGAGTTTCCCAAGGTCCTTCATCTCGAATTCTGCCGATAGTTTTTCCTTTAGCAATTGTTTCTCTGTCAGGTCGTCTCCTATAATATAATAATATCATCAACATAAACAAGAAGGATAGTAAGTTTTCCTCCAAGCGAGTGCTTAAAGAAAAGCGTGTGATCTCCTTGGCTCTGCTTGTAGCCTAAGTACATCATTGCTTTTGTAAATCTTCCAAACCATGCTCTAGGAGAATGTTTTAGCCCATATAGGGCTTTCCTCAATCGACACACCTTGTTGGATCCACATGTTGGGCCAAATCCCAGCGGAATCTCCATGTACACCTCTTCTTCTAAGTTTTCATGCAAGAATGCATTTTTGACATCAAATTGTTGTAATTCCCATCCGAAGTGAGCAGCAAGAGATAATAAGATTCAGACAGTCTTCATTTTCGCAACAAGAGCAAATGTTTCCTCATAATTTATGCCATATGTCTGTGTGTATTCTTTTGCCACTAATCTAGCTTTGTAACGATCAAGAGTACCATCTGATTTGTGTTTGACTGTATAAATCCACCTGCAACCAACAGGTTTCTTGCCTTCCTGTCTATCAACATTCTCCCAAGTTTCATTTTTTTCAAGAGCTTTCATTTCCTCATTCATCGCTTGGACCTAATTTCTATCTTTCAATGCCTCTTGAACGGATGATGGAATGACCACAGAGTCAACTGCAAAAATTATGATGCTGCAAAGAAAGATTTTTAGTGAAGACAAATTGAGATATAGGGTATTTGGCACATGATCTTTTCCCTTTGCTCAAAGCAATGGGCAAATCATTTGTATTAGTGTCATAAGTGTCAGAGCTATGGGAATCACTAATAAGACTGTGAGTTTCAACACTTACCTCCGGTTCTGGCGAGTTGTGTTTGGAGCAGGTTGGGCTTACTTCTTTTGTGATACACCAAGGTTAGCTCACCAGCCTTAGTTATTGTTGGTGTGGAAGATGATGGTTCCTGCAAAACAGACGACAAAGGAGGGACCAAAATAGAAGTGGGATCAATAATAGAAGGATCAGTAATAGGACTTGACATAGGATTAACAGTCGACTCGAGAGACTCAATTGTAAGACCGATAATAGGACTTAAGAAAGGAGTCACGGGCAACTCAGGTAGGACCAAAAACTCGAAATCAGATTCTACATTCTGAATGCTCTCCCCTTGAAGCTGGGGACAAGTGAAGTAGGTCAAATTCTCATGAAACGTGACATCTTTAGAGACAATACGTGACATCTTTAGAGACAAAGTACTTACGACTAGGAGGATGATAGCATTTATATCCTCTCTTGTTTGGGGGATAGCCAACAAAGATGCATCTGACTGCGCGGGGGTCGAACTTACTTCGGTGTTGTTTATGGATATCGACAAAGGCAACACAACCAAATACTCGAGACTTGAGACTTTTCAAAATAGGAACAAAAGGAAACCGTGAAGTCATAAATTGAACAGGACTGACATTACCTAACATGCGAGATGGAATCCGATTAATCAAGTAGGCAACAGTCAGTACGGCTTCTCCCCAATATGAGTTGGGAACTGCCATTTGGAAGAGGATGGCTCGAGCAACTTCAAGTAAATGACGATTCTTTCTTTCTGCAACACCATTTTGTTGTGGGGTGTCGACACATGTAAATTCTTGAAGTATTCCACGTTGACTGGTAAAATTTAAAAGGGTGTGATTGGCATACTCTTTGCCATTGTCAGAGCGGACTCTTTTAATCCCCTTGTCAAATTGTGTTTGTACCATGTCATAAGAACTAATAAATATTTCTGGAACTTCAGACTTATCCTTCATCAAGAAAATCCAAGTTGCTCGAGTACAATCATCAATAAATGACACAAATCATTTAGCACCCGAAATATTAGAAATAGGTTCAGGTCCCCAAACATCAAAATGTATGAGATCAAAAGGTTTAGCACTTCTACTGGAACTAGGAGTAAAAGAGACATGATGATGCTTAGCTAACTCACAAAAGTCACATTTAAAAGATTCTATTGAATGATGTAAAAACCAAGAAGGAAACATAGACTTAACTAAAGAGAATGGTGGATGACCAAGACGCTTGTGTTGAAGCCAAATTTGTGCGGCAGAATGAGAAGAAGACACGGAAGACTCAGTCTACAAGTAGGAAGCCAACACCTTCAAACAATTTGGTTCATCAGATAGATAGTACAACCCTCCCTTTTCCTCAGCAACTCCAATTGTCTTTCCTGTGGTAAGATCCTGAAAAACACAATAAAAAGTGAAAATTACTTTACAATTCTAATCACGAATGAGTTTACGAACAGATATTAGGTTGTGAGAGAGTGTGGGAACATGTAGCACGCCCTGTAATTGAAGTGAAGATTGCAAGTTAACACTCCCAGAGCCATCAATACGGGCATAAGAACCATTAGCAACCATAAAATAACGGTTCTTCTCAGAGCAGGTGTAAGAGGAAATCAAACTAGGATTGAATGCTATATGGTCGGTGGCACCAGAGTCTAAAATTCAAGCATTCTTAGAGATTTTACCGCAAACACTAAAGGATTGAGAGCATACACTCAAGCCGGTCGTCGGTAGAGAACAACTTCCAGAAGGCATACTGAGAGAGTCAAGTATAGCCTTTAAACGATTCACCTCATCCTTGGTGAATGATAAAGAGTAATCAAAAGAAATTTTTTCAGCCATTTGTAGCAAGCTAAAAAAAACAGCAATAAGACAAGCCAAACATCAGCAAAAAAGGATCAAATAGAGGTGTTTTTGGACAGTTTTTGGACACAAAAAAAAAAACTGCAATAAAGGGTAACAAGGCTGCAATGAAGGCGGCAAAAATTGTCACAATGAAGGTGACTTAGGGGTTACCGTATGAAAACGGCTAGGGTTTATGCGGAAGCAAGTCTCTCAAGATCAAGAGCTCTTGATACCATGTTGCAAATTGAATATTTGGTGAAATGTTTGAGCTACAAAGCACTCAAGTGATTTGATTATATACACTCAAGAGAGTAATTACAAGATAAGATTGAAGTTATTTCCTAGGTACATCTATGTAATTTACAAGACATAGATTCCTAGACTCCTAAATACATGAACATGCTCATAAATACGAATTATAATTCCAATAATTTGTAATTCCAATAATAATTCCAATAATTCCAACAAACAATAATTAATTGAATAGGTTATTGCTCACATGACTTCTTTCTTTCACTTCAAAAGTGAGGTATAGTTTTGAAAATTGAACCCAAAAAAAAAAATGGTGTTTTGAACTTCTTGTTCTCCATAGCATTAATACTTTAAGGCCACACATGTGAAGAGATCACAAGGATGATCCAAAGCAATAGTAGCATGCTGCATAATTATTACTTGACTAACACATCAAAAGCAAATATATATACAGCAGCAAAATCTATAATTTTAACTATACCAGTATACTACACAAAGGCTAAGTCTTAGGCACAATCACAAATTTAAGTGATTTAGACACTCACATATAAATGAAAAAAATTAAAAGAGAAGTAATTTAGTCAAATCATTCATCATTACTTTAATCTTTTTCATTTTAATTTATTTATATCGTGTGTGTCTATACAATATTTATTTGGGGTTGTGTCCAAGTAAGTATTTCTCCTACACAAAACTAGGTAAGCCAAACCATGTTCATGTATCATTCCTTTGTTATATTTAAACCATCTTTACGAAACATGCTCTAAACGAAGTTAAGTATATTTTGCAATGCTATAATAGTTTCTGAATGTTAAACACGATAGCAGGCACTAAAAGTATTAAAAACTTCTATAAAAGATTTATATGAGACAGGGTTTTACACATTCATTTTGTAAGTTCGGCAAAACAACTTACCTATGCATCCACCTATATGCAGAGATTGGAGATTAGACGCCACAGAATTCAAATGCTTATCTCTAGAGTGTAAAGAGGGAAAGTTGCCACCATCAGAAATAGCTGAGCAAAGAGCTTGAACTGAATTTATCCCAAATGAAGTATCACAGACCACAATCGAATTAAGATTCTTACATCTGCCTATGAGATCTGATATGCCAGTATCAGTGACATAAATACATCCTTTAATATTCAGGTGACACAATGAAACACAGAATTTGGAGATATACTGAAGACTCAAATCTGCCATGGATAATATGAAGAAATTACTTGTTGTGAGGAGAGAAAAATATATCAAAAAAAAATTATTTAGATTGAAATTTTAGCATGAATTCTTTCACCGTGAAAACACCTACCACTGACATCGGTTCTTCCTTCCAATGTGAGTTTCGTAACATAAGAAATTAGAGGTCTAGATTCATGAAATGGCATGGTTTCCACTGCTTTATATTTAAGAGTTGAGGTCTTCTCTGGTACCAGTGGTATCACAGCAGGACTAGAGGATAAAACTGTAACCGATGCCGGAATTAGAGGAGTAATATCAACAGTCAAGTCAATTTCGCTGACCAAAGAGCACTTCTCCAATAACTGAAGGAAACCGGTAGTCCTGATATTTAATAGATAACCTGCTTTTAATATTTTTAAGGAAGGAAAAGACTGGCTGAAGTAATCAACAGCGTGTTCAATAAGCAGTCTTCGACACTTTGAGATATCCACCTCCTGAACTGCTTCAAAGATAAAGGTATGTAACAGTTTTTGTGGGAATTCACAACTCTCTCTTATAGGATGTCCAGAACTAATAAAGAACTGTTCTATAATCTTCCTTTGCGTGGAATCCGTGAAATATGATGCAGGTATGAGTGACAGAAGCAGTATTGCAGATGTTAATTGCGGACAATTGGAAAGGTCTATTTTCTGCATGCAATGGAATTGGAAAGTTTACACAAAAGCATTAAATTATTCCTAATAAAAAATCACAAAATACTAGCAGGCAAATGAAGGACATGTTGGCTAAGAACCTAAGACATGTATACAAAATGATGGGCTTAAATAGCAGTAGGCAGATATCAAAACCAAAAACCAGAAGGGACCAATAGATACATTTAACAAAACATCGATTTACTAGTGTCAAATACCAAAGACATGAAAGTTAAACACCTAGAATATTATAGAACCTCATCAGCCGTAAATTTTATGGCTCTCTAGAAATTACTACATTTTCTTAGGCAGAGATTTAAAGTACAAAGGCATCAGATAAACTAACATCTCAACTAAGTTGGCACCCCAACCTACCATCCCAGTAACAACAAAAGTGAACTTATGCCTATGCAGTGCTAATCTGGTCAATAAGAACCTCACAATGTTTGTATTATATTTTGGTCCATCTCATCAAAAGAAATAATAGATGATATTTTCTATGACAATATATAATTGGCCCTCTAGGTTGGTATGGGCTAGAAAGGAAGACTGCCTACTAATTTCGCACACACATTACGTATAAATGTGGATCCATTTACTCTGGAGTAAGTCTTAAATACTTGCTCCAAGTAATAACTTCCCGGGTATGAAATCTAATACTAGTTTAAATTATTGTATGAATGTTAGTACGCAACCTACTTAATAAAAAAAATCTATTCATTGGATCAATGAAATAAATGTTCATGAAACATTATAATGTGTAATAAGAGAGAAAACTTAATCTTGCTGCTGGAGAAAGTGGATTCTCACTCTACCTGACTACATACACAGATTTATGCTCTTGATGATTAATAAATGAATGGAAATAAATAATTCTCTCAGCAAAAAGCAAGCAATATTAAAATGCTAATTGATATGCTTTGAAGGCTCTTTATCAATCAAACAAACACAACAACAATGCATAAATTAATTCAGTATATTCCAAGTAGTAAAACTTAAAAGTACCTTTGAATATTCTGTAACTCGAATCCTGAGATGTTGCAAGTCACTATATCCGGAAATATCAAGTGAACCTATAGGTAGAATATTCAGTGCTCTGAAAATTGAATCAAGGCTTTCCTCAGCTAGCTGCCTAAAATAAAGAGAGTTTCTTTTTCCTGTTAAACACAAAAATTACCTTACATCATCTAGGAATTTCTGGATGAAGAATAAAGACTTTCAATGCTTCAGGTAAAAGCTCTAGAAAATGATATACCTGCAGCAAACCACAAAGGCAAAAGGTCCACACGAATCTGTTAAGAACCAATAATAAAAGGTTATACAGTTTTTAAATATAAATGACATGTTAAGTTGGAAACACATAGCAAAGTTGCTATTCATGAGTACAGAGCCAAAAATTATTGGAAAGATTTGAACAAAAACAAAAAGATCTTGATTATTCTATATTTGTTTATAAAAATAGATAGACATCATAATTACATTTGATTTCCATCATGTGAATCAAAATATAATTACATGTGGAACAATGCAGCAACATTTTACCAACATACTTATGAAAAATGAGCAAAAAACTTTGGGGCTGTTTATTAATATGTATTACAAAGAAGAAAAGAAAAGGGGTTGTTTAGTACTATGGTTGTAATTTTTTTATCATAACATCATTTGTTAATAGCATCTCACAATTCCTAATTTTTTTCACCTTTCAATCTCTGCCCCGTGCTTTCAAAAAGTAACCTTGCCCATAAATAACATACCAATATACCATTGATGACAGTCGGGTTTCAGTAATATGGTGGAGTGATATCCTGCTGTTTAGCAGATGCAAGAAAAGAAAAAGAAAAAAAAAGGGCTTGATAGGATAGGATTCTTTCTGCCCGTATTCCATTCCTAAGCAAGTACTGGTTAAACAACGGATTCAAGAACTCAATATCAGTAACGAGACATATAACCTTACTTGTTTTAAAATCCCATTGTAGTTGTCCTCTGCTTCACTTTGCCTCTCCAAATTTTCCATGTTACTTTCAAGCCAAAGAAGAAGTGCATCAGAAAGATGCATCTCACTGTCAAGATAGTAGATACTATAACATTATAATCTAAAACAAAGTAAAATACAATGGATTAAAATGAAGCCAATTCATAAATAACATGTCAACCTGTCAACGGTCAAATGAGGGTGCTTTACTGAAGATAACAGCAAGTTATATGGAATTTTTCCAAACAAGTTGTTCTGTTTTGCCCACATCTATAAAAGAAAAAGAAAAATCATAACAAACTACATTTTATTTTATTTTTAAAAAAAGATTGTTTGGCTACATGAAAATTATTCCACAGACAAGGATAATTGGACAAGAATAACAATTAAACAACTATTTTAAACAACAGAAATTCATAACTAAGGAGAAACAGGAAATTTCTGTTCATTGTTCAAGCTCTATTGAAAGAAGTTGATTACATACAAAATTTCTTGCTAGGTAGCCGATACATAAATGAAGAATGAAATCACTTGCTGCAAAATGCATTAAAAAATAGTTAGAATGAACATTGTAATATGTTATAGCCAAAAGTTAACAAAAATCCCTGACTGAAGTTGCAAGACGATCATTTTTTTTTACATAAAATGTAAAATAAAAAACCTGTACCATGATCCAAGCTAAATTTCCAAATTTGGATCAAATCCTCCATTTGTATCTCCATTAATTGAAATCCTTTTGGCGAGAATACCTCAGAAAACCAAGTCTCACACTTTAAAAGAAGTGTCTCCACTCCAAAATAAAGCGCACCCTGACACATACCAGAGAAAAACCAACCACATTACCCATTGTGAATTCAAAGTCTTTAAATAAAACAAGAAGAAAATTTCAGATTGCTACATTCATGGATTTCTAGATCAATGTGAGAGCGTCTTGTGAACAAAAAGCAACTAGAATAAAGAAAAAGCCGTTACATAAATGTGAACCAACAATGTACCTCATAAAGAGGGAGGATATTTTCAGTAGTAATATCCAATGGAAAGCCATACATATGCTGAAGAATTTGCATAAACACATTCAGATTCCAGTTGATAGTGATATAGCTCAAGCAAGATTCACTACACAAGTAATATTAATAAGTATGTTATGCAATCTCATGACAGTTTTAAAAAAAATATATATCTACAAGTCGTCTGCCTAACCTGAAGCTTCCGCTGAGAAGGCCTCGAAAATACAACGATTGCTCAATGAGCCTGTGGTAAAGAATTTCAGTTAGTTCACAAAATCGATTCTAGAGTGTAAAATTGATTTTAGCATGTTTGGATGTTTTTCGGAATAATTGATTTTGGCGGCAGAAGGAAGGACAGTGAATATACATATAGAGATGGAAGGAAGTGACGAACCTGTTGCGATGTGCGTGAATTTTGATGGTATGAAAGGTGAGAAATGGTGTTAAATCGGAACCGAGGATATCGGTGGTTGAAAGGAGAATCTCTTGGTTGGTGATGTGTGTTGTTTGAATTGGTTGATTACGGTTAGTGCAAACGAGGATAACTTTATCGTCGTCGGAGACTGAGACTTCCATCGGCAGACTAGTGAGTGACTCTTCCTGGTTTGCTGTTGCGCAACACAGCCGTGTCTTGACTCCTACTGCCCGAGTGGTATTTGAGGAGGTCCGATTCTCTACTGCGTTTTATATTCTACCATCCGTTCTGATTCTAATCCAACGGTCAAGATATTTCAAAGGTAACAATAAAATTAAGAAAATAAAATTGAAGATATAAATAAATGAATATAGAGAAAAATATAAGAAATAAGAGTTTGAATTAGGTTTTAAAACTTTTTTGTTTATAAGTGTTTTTCACAAATGATTAGAATTAAGAACAATGCTAGGATTAGAAAAGACAATCAGAAATACAAATAAAAAAACACTTCTGATTTATCTATATTCACCTTAGAAAAGGTTAGTCATGTCTATCCGTCAAGGTGATTTCGCCTTAGAAAAAGACTTAATACACTATAGCTAAATTGATTATAACTGCACGGACTATCCGTCGGTGACTAACAAATGCACGACCTGTTAGTGATCCTTTAAGAATTCTGACATACCTGATCCTCTAAGAGATCTAACGATCATTGACTCCTTAAGGCTTCTAACCTACTTGTTCCCTTGAAGGAGATTTCTCTATGTCTTAGAAAAAGGACCTTCTCAACTACCCGTTGAATAATTGTATTTACAAGTTTGTTTCTTACAAGTGAATTACATAGAAGTTTAAGTAAAGATTGTTTAACACAAATATGAACAACAACTCTTGTTTTCAAATAATTTACAGAAGTAACACAATAATGAGCAACAACTCTTGTGTTCAAACAATTTACAGAAGTAACACAATAATGAGCAACAACTCTTGTGTTCAAACAATTTATAGAAGTAACACAATAATGAGCAATAACTTTTGTGTTCTAATGAATAGTAATATCAATATTATATGAGCAACAACTATATTTTTCTAGTGAATAGTAGTATCAACACAATATGAGCAACAACTCTTATGTTTTAGCAAATGAAAATGTTAACACAGTAGCGAGCAACAACTCTTGTGTTTTTTATCTTTTCTTTTCTTTGCTTTCTCTTTTTCTTTTTCTTTTTCTTTACTTTGATTTGGGCAGTGTTACTGTTCTTGTTCACTAGTCTTCTTATTTTCAAATGAAACAGTTGATCATTTATATAGGCATTTAAGAAGTAGACCGTTGTAGCAGTACACACGTTATTTTCATCTTGCCAGCTTCTATAATAATAGGAATTGATCGTAAGAGGCAAATAGTACACAATACATCCATTTGAGTGGAATGTGTAATTGTACCTTTGTATTAACTCTTCTTGCGCTTATTTTTGATGATATTGTCGTCTGATTAATATGACTTCTGATGAAGTAGATTGGCTTGAGAATATATCATCTTTTGATCTTGTCTGCTGATGGACTATATGATGTGTAAAAGTGATGAGTCTAGAAGATCTAACTTTCCTTTGACCAGTCTTCTGATGGAATACTTCTGATGTAAAGTTATGTGTGCATATTCCACTAACTTCCCGAGTCTTCAGAATCTTGACTTTGTCTTCAGAATTACGAGCAACAACTCCTCTGATGAACAAATATTGACTTCTGGATCTAAGGTAGAAGTTTTCCTTTGATATGTTTAGAACCTTGACTTTGTCTTCAGGATTACGAGCAACAACTCTTCTGATAAACAAATCTTGACTTCTGATCTTTGACGTAAAAGCTTGTTTCAGTGCAATCTTGTTTTCTGATCTTGGAGCAGTAGCTCTAACAAAATTTCTTTCTTCTTAAATACTTGTGAGTTCAGAAGCAATAACTTTTTTGAGAAGTACACGAGAGATCCTCTTTCTGGTTAACATTCAGCATTCTTCATAACTATTGATGTTTCATCAGAATCGGGTGCAATAGTCTTCTAATGCGTGCTTGGTGATTCTTCAGACAATAGTCTTGAATCAACTAGAACTTCTAATCTGCACACTCAAAAACTATTAGAAACAAAATTATTTACATATAAAATATATGTATTGTTATCATCAAAATTCAAAAATTTAACATAGATCCAAATCTTATTCTAACAATCTCCTCCTTTTTTATGATGACAAAACCATGTATTTTGATGTAACAATTTTATAAGGTAATATCATAATCGAATTCAAAATTATCAAAGTTAAGAAGAAAACTTCCCCTGATTAGCATGAGCTCCCCCTGAGTCTAAGACTTACAGTTTTTAGAAGGAAGGGATATATGAGCATTGTTTAGAAAATACTCCCTGAGTTAAACAATCTTCCCCTGGATCTAAAACTTAAGACCTTATTAGAAAGTAGGCTTTTCTGAGCTTGATTAACACTTTCAGAATTTTGATTTGAAGCACGTGGAAGCGATTTATCTGAGTTTGCTTTATCAGAACTTATTTCTTAATCAGAACCTTTATCTTGTACCTGAAAACACATTCTAAAACTCTTGCATATATAATTTCTTAGAAATGTAAGCAATGAGATTTAGAGAATCAGGTATGCATCAAAATCATCATTCTGCTTTCTCCCCCTTTTTTGTCATAATCAAAAATATTTAAGATTTCATTTACTAATATAAAGATAATTAAGCACATCAGAAAAGATAGAAGGATAGAAACACTGAAAATTCTTATTATAGAAGTATCAAGTAAGTATAAGAGGAAATATACGAACACGACACAGGACTAGACTTCTTAGACTTCAAAAGTTTCACAACTTTCATCAAAGAGAGCGTTAATTGAACTAAATTGGGCTCTTCGAACTATTCTAACAATTTATGCTCTCTCAAACAACTCAGACAACACTCACCCATACAGTATGAAGGACACTTGAAGATTTTTAGAGTCGGTAATAGATTCCTTTAGGTGTTCGAAAATGATCGCAGACAGGTTCACATGAATGTTATTGAGAATACAGAAAACGAGACGTTTATCCATAGGAAACACATCATATGTTTCAGATCCTCTTGGTAGAAGGTTAGTTAACAGAAATCTGAACCAAAACTTAGCATGGGGTTTCAGGTTTTCCATATTGTTAGTTTCATAAACAGAAGAGGTGTCATGAAGAGTTAGGAAGATGTCAGCATCCATATACTCAAAACTGTGAAGATCCATGGATAGAGCTTTGGAAACACATCTAATTACCTCAGCAATAATGGAGCGAGTGATGATACAGGGAATGTCACAGATACTTGACCTTACGCGACAACCATCACTGCTTACAGAAGCATACATCCATAATTTTTTACTAGGTTTGGATATATATGACCTTGTCGTATTGTGGTATAACCAGACCAATCTTGATTGTGGATGCACTCATTAAAGTGATCATTAACAATCATACTGTTATGACGTTTTTCATTTATTACTTCCAAAATATCTTCATTTCCATAAAAGGTTTTGACATTCATTTTGATGGGAGCATAGAGGTTGAAACAAAAAGACAATGAATGGATACAAAGAATTGAAGATATACAAGAGGATGAAGAAAATAATGATGAGGGAGATATATATAACTGAAAAATAATTAAAGAGATTACTTAGAAGAGTAGTTAGGCTCGAGACCCACAACATATTTAATGTCATGTTCAGAAGGAAGAGGAACGGGTTATACCATTATTTTCAAGATAATTGTCATTTAAAGTGAATGCAGGATGACAACTAGGACAAGAGTAGAATAGGATGTGTCTTAAAAATCTTATTTTGAATAAATAATATCTCAACTTTTCTTCCAGCTGACAAAAATAGAGATTAACTATGATGATTTTTCACCTATTCTCAAAACATATTCATTGCTTTCAAAGTTTATGTTCTTAGAAGCAAGAGGATCATAAGTTTAAAAATATTTATGATATAGACTTCTTCTAACTTGTGGAAGTATCTTACTCAGAAATCTGAACATCTTTAAATTATTTTGTTGATGCTCAGAGTAAGACACGTATTGAACCAAGAATCATTATGGACATAGTACCATATTTAAATGGTTCAAAATGAATAAGAATATATCTCCATCTAAGAGTTTAGTAAAGATATAATCCCATTGATGGACTGTATCTATGAATTTTAAAACAATAATCCCTTTTTGAACATATTCTATAATAAAATGATTTTTGATTTCTATATGTTTTGCTCTAGAGTGCAAAGTAAAATTCTTACTAAGACAAATAGCGACAGTATTGTCACAAAAAAATAGGAATATTACTATCGTATATCTGGAAGTCTTCAAGTTGACTTTTCATCCAAAGCATCTGAGTGTTGCAAAGCGATGTTGAGATGTATTATGTTTCTGTAGCGGATAATGCAATGGTTGATTGCCTTTTGCTTGACCAAGAAACAAGATTATTCCCCAGAAACTGATAGTTTATGTAACACCATATTTCCCTGTCAGTAATTTAACCAAAAATCAGAGTAATTTAATTCATAAAATAAAACATCAATAATATGATGCCATATTTTCATACATCATACATGCTCGTATAAAAAGATACGCAACACATAGTCACTTATTCATCATGTCTGAACTTTGTTTCATTTATCCGCAGCGGAAAACATCACTAGTAATCATTCTCAACATGAGTAATAGTTATCATAATTCAAAATTCAACGTAAAATATCAATTAAAATCCAACAAATGGAGTTCTACAATAATTTACTCCCATCATAATAAAACAAGCGCAAAACCCCCAAGTGTTACGTATCAGAGCTGACACTGACTCAATCTACACAAAATGAGGCACTTCTCAGCTAACCTCGACCTTGAGCTACTTCGGATCATCTGCATGTTACCCACGTAGAGGCAACATTCAAACATAATGGGTGAGATATCATAACAATATAAAAGAAAGCATAATAACGAGTAGATATCAATTTAAGTATGCATAATTATACTTCTTTACCTCACACCTTTCCTTCATTCATTACACCACAAAGTATATCAACATATAAGCAAATACAACACATAACACTCATCATAATATAACACATACTTTTTCAACATCAAAACATCAAGTTATC